ATCGGGAACAGAGAACTGAAAATTTATTTATGTTATGTGTCTTTGCTTGTCATTCGTTTTATTTTGTATTATTCTGCTGTTTTGTTTTTCTTCTCTTTTCTTGCTTCTGCAGTGTTGCCAGCATTAAAATATAGATGTGAGATAAGCAACTTTGTGTGCGAGATAAAAAGATGAGAGATGTTTCTTTTATCTCAACTACAGTGAAGAGAAAATTGTTAGGTACACTAAGGCGCAAAGCCTTTTTCAGTTTGTTGATAGTTATGTGAAGCAGAGAAAAAAACACCATATCGAATGTGTTTTCATTTTTTTTTTTAATTTATTTAAAAACAAGTAAGCAAGGTTACAGTCGAGCGGGGCCGACCATTGAATACCCTACAACACTGTAATAAACCATACAGTTTATATAGGCGAGATACTCGAAAGAATTCCACAAAATATTGTGACAAATAATAAAAGAAAACCATCAGGTTTCGTTCTCTAATTTTCGAATAATAGCAACTTAAACTTATTTGCTCATTTCCAATTTATTGGTAGATGTTGCACGTAAATGGTCTTCCTAGATCTGGAACCAATATTTTCCCAAAGACCTATAATCTCTCAAAAGTGGCAGGAGATTAACATTTATTATTGGTTTTTGACTGAAACGCATCTATATGAGATACAGACATTTGACTATATCCTTCAACGAAATCAGCGTTAACGAAATAGTCAGAAATGCGTCTTTCCTGTATTTGTGAATTCTCCAAAAAGTCACAGGAATGGTCATTTTCTTTTTTTGTCTACAAAAGTTGGCAAACTATTTCGCACATTGAATATTTTTGGATGGCCATCCAAAACTGCTTGGCTTTTGCAATGTCCGGTAACCCCAATTCAAATGTGCGTGAGGATCGGGCGATATTTACGACCTGCTGACAATTTGGCGGTTTTTTGGTCCATTTCAACCCCTAAATATATGGCGATCATCTCCAAAAAGAGTAGGCTTCTATTCTGACCCTCATCTTATCCCCATGCATTTCGTAAGGATCGGGCCATAAATGCGATCTGTATATGATATCCTGATATACTAACTACTTAGTTTTGTTAGCTGTAGAAATATTACCAAATGTTTAAATCAAAACGAAAATATGCCAAAAATATGACAAAATTGAAAAAATATGAGAAAATTTTAGAAAATCAATATTTTCATCTTTAGAGAGATATTTTTATGCGGTTTTTTAGACCTTTTTTCTTTCCTGTCAAGAGGCCATTCTGAATTAAAGAACTGTCGAAATCAGTTCAGCCGTTCTCGACATATAAGAAATCTTTCAAGCATATCTTCTTTGATAGACATATATATCGCACATATTTTACTATATATCCGATTTTTTGGATGTTAACATCGATGTAAAGATCATAAGTAACCTTGCCATGGCTTTGTGATTTCGCCGGAATTTAAAATATTCGCGGTTTAATGAAAAATTTTGAATTTTTTCAACACAAAATAAATGGTATATTTTACCCGCTTAATATTATCCGATGACCACCCAAATTGGTAGGCTTCTTCTCCGCCCTAAACTCTAGCTACATGCGAAATTCCGCGTCGATTGGTCTATAATTGCGACCTGTATAGCCACTGCAAAATCCGAAATTTTTTCAGTATTTGGTCCTTTTCAACCCCTAAACATTTGGCGATCCTCTCCAAAAGAAATAGGCTTCTATTCTGACCCTATCCCCACCTTCGTGCGAAATTTCGTGAAGATCGGGCCATAATTGCGACCTGTAGAGTGATTACAAATTAACATGGACAGACGGACGGACGGACATACATAGCTAGATCGACTCAGCTCGGCGAGCTAGGAAGTTCCATATATACTTTCCTATATGGGAAACCAATATTTCGAGGTGTTAAATAAATTCTAGCCCAATCAAACTTATAATACCCCCAACACACAGTGTTGTAGGGTATAAAAAGGCGAAATTTTTAAGAACTCATTTGAAATAGGGTTTTTGGTTTGCAATCACTTTTGTATGGGCCCTACGGTGTTTTCAACACAGGTCCCTAAAACTACATTGAACTTTGTTCAAAACGTAGTACGACTTCGGCTATTTTATCCAAAAAATGTAGCCTAATAATCGGCGTAAAATTCTAATGCGATTAAGCCATGTCCGTCCGTTTGTTGTAATCACGCTATCTTCCCAACGAATTGAGAATTTGGCACACATGGGTTTTGTGTCTGAATTTAGCATTTCGGCGAATTTCGGCACATTCTTCAGCGGATTTGTCTGGAATTTGGTATATGAAGGTAGTTACGGGTTCCTAACTCCCTTGCAAAAACCAGTATATATAAATCCACATTATGCTATTGCTCGCTTATAAAGATAACCCCCTCAGTTTAAGTATTTTCACAACTTTCGGCATATTTTTTAACGGGATTCCCTTGAAAGTTCCAAAAGGAAAAATATGCTTCAGCCCAAACAGAAAGGTAATTTAATATCAAAGAATGAAAGAAAAATGCAACTATATACTAGAGTCTTAGTGTGTAAAATAGACTTTAAAGCATCTAACAATTGGTTTTGTGTATATTCGAATTTGTTTTTACACAATTTGTATTTTGGAGAAAAATCACAAAATATGAATAGAATATTTATTACTCAAAACGAAACAATTTATTTGATAGATAAACAAAATCAACAACTGGAAAGAAAACACAAACATTTTTCATACAAATATGTTTGAATAAAAAATTACCTAAAATCCAACGTCAAATCCAGTCACTTGCTTTTGAGTTGTCACAAAATGTTTCATTACAAAGACATAGAAGTATAAAGATGGGACAAGACAGAGTCAAAATATTGTCACCAGGTGTGAATACCTCTGTTGTTACGATATCATATCAACCTAATCATCAATGTTAAGTTGTTTTAACAGCAAATGCAATATTCAAACGTCAGTGAAATTCAATTTTTAGTTCAAATTTTTGGTTTACAGAAAATTTTATTCTTAAAATTGCTCTGTAAATATAATTTTTATGCTAACATGTCACTGTTGTGAGCAGCGCCTCTATATATTTTTCACATTAACTATTTTTCCATTATGCATTTTGTCCAGTCTTTACCATTTTAGGTCTTTGTTCATTATTATTTTTAGCAATACAATAAATGCAAACACAGGAGAGGCAGAGAAGTCAAACACAACCACAAAAAAAAAAAAAAAAAAAAAACGTGATAACTTAAAATAACTTGCTATTGTAGAATGGAGAAAGCATTTGGAGTGTTCCTTTTCTAGATAATTTGTAAAAAAAACTGTTCACAAATGTTTGCAAATTCTTAGTGGGAAAATTTCCCCAGCTGGACAGTAATCAGTAATTATATAACCATTTGGAAGAGAATTTTTGGTGGAAAAAATTATTAACTATCATTTTTGTTACTTTTGCAATTTTTTCTCTCGATAGAGCGAAAAATCATATTTTTATAACCCCTCTCATTGGTAAGGGTATTATGTCTTTGTGCATTTGTTTGAAACAAGGAGAAGGGAGTTAGTTACTTTTGAGGATTTTCATAGAATCTCTCCACCCGTCCCTCTGTCCATGTATTTTTGTGAACATTGCAGGTCAAATATATTATCTAATTGAGATGAAATTTTTTGGAGTGAATTTTGGCACTTCCGACGGAATTCAGCCTAGAAACAAGTACATCAAATTTGATGAAAATCAGTTTAGACATAACTATAGCTCCCATATATATGTTTCATTCGATTTGATATTTATATCAGATTTGGATATAGCTCCCATAAATATTTTCGTCCGTTTTCCATTTTATTGTACGTCAAATATTTAATATTCGCCCAAATAGAATGTGTTTCGGCACATTCGACCGAATTCAGCCTAGAAACGAGTATTTCAAATTTGGTAAAAATCGGTTCAGATATAGCTATATGTTTCATCCGATTTGGGGCTTTAAGCGTCTCACATGTGTAATATGCACTCCACAATAATAATCGTTTGTACCAGATATCAGATAGAGCTCAGAAATAAGTTTTTAAAATTTTGTCAAGATTGGTTCAGATTTGGATATAGCTCCCATATATATATCTTTATCCGATATCAGGTTCGTTGTACACCAAAAGTCTAATTTCATAAATTATTTCATATTCAACCGAAAAAAACCATGTGGTGAAACTCGGTACGGTGCATATATTGCTACAATAAATAGTTTTTAATATAATATTAAATTGTGACTTGTTTAAAACAATGATACCCATTCAAATAACGTTCATAGTTGGTATCATCGAATAAATTCCCAATACAAACTTTTTTGTTACGGGAACTCTACGCATAGTGGTGTAGGGTATAATATATTCGGCTCCGCCGGACTATAGACCTTCTTTACTGATTTCTCAGTAAATTCTTGCTAAGTACAGTCATATAGTCGGCTCCGCCCGACTTTAGACCTTCCTTACTGGTTTCTCAGTAAATTCTTGCTAAGTAAATGTTTCTGAGAAAATAAACGAACGTATTATCGATTGGCTTAGGAAAACTGGATATTAGTGCCAAATATGTTTTTGACTATTACTCTTTAAACATATATCAAGAATGAATCTATCACTGTCATATATTTGGGCCACAGCTTATTTTACCGTTTTCATAATTTTCTTAGATAATAGAACAATTTTCAAAATCTCCAATTGAATGTGATTGCTTGATTTAAATCTTCAATTCAATGTCACTTTATTTTGCCACATGTTTCTACAGCAATCACTGTATTGCTGAAGTTACTTTTTAAAGTTGGCAATACCATTCTTCAATGCTGACAAATTAAATAGATAATTTTTCAATCTGGCAATACTGGCCAACTATCGTCTAATGTAGACTTTCTAATACAAGTGCTCATCTTTGGTATATGTCCACATGCAGTGTTGTATTTTTAGTACCCAACAAAGAAAACTAAACCCAAACGACCGTTAAATTTAAAAATTATTTAAAATTTAACAAAAAAGAGAAGAATAAACACAATGACACCTTGTTCTTTATTATTTTGCCAACTTTATTTTCCAATTACAACCATGTTTATAACTGTTTGTATTTTTTTTTCTTGTGTTAAAGTAACAAACATCTACATGTCGTTTTTGTTTTGTTAATTTCACATAATGTATTACCAAAATCTAAATATAAACTTAAAAAAGCTAAATTTTTAAAATACAACATGCCTTAAATAGATATTCGTGTTAGTGTTTCCCAGTTTTTTTCTGTTTTTTTTAGGTTAAGTTTGACTTAAATAAACTAAGCATAGCACTTGTTGTTATAGTTTTAATTCCCAAAAACACACAAAAACATGATTAGTTTTGCTAATTAATTGGGAGAAGGAAAGATGGAGTAGAGATTACTATTTTCTAGTTTTGCCCGTAAGTAAGTTTGCCATTCTCAGCCTGAAATTCCTTAAGAGTGTTGCACGTTTTAACTCACCGTTTTTGTGTTGGTCGTGTTGTTGTTGCTTTTCCATGATGCGCTGCACCTCACCGGCCTCCGAACCACTCTCCCAATCGAATGCTGGACTTTGTCGGGCATTTGAGATGGAATTGTTGGTTAGTTCTTGAATTTGTGGCTGTTGCGGCTTGTGGGGAGTTGATTCCCTAATCAGAGGAGATGCAGAATAATGCCGTTGTTGTTGCTGCTGCGATGGAATGTTTTGCAGATGGGGTGAAAGTTGAGATGGTTGATGCTGTTGCATTATTATAGGAGTTGTAGCACGATTTTGAAATTGTTGTTGTTGTTGCAATGGACCTGCCGCCGACGTCATCATCACTGCCGATGACTGCTTGAGAGCGTAACGTGGACTAATTTGATCAGTTAATAGTCCCGCCTGCTGCTGCAGCCTCTGATGTTGCGGTGTCCAGTAGATTTGACTCACTTGTTGACTTGAGCGATCAAGTATCAATGGAGTACTACGTCCGTCGTGCAAACGGGGTCGTATTATTTGCGGTTGTATGGAAATGGGTTCGCGTACAGTTATGTAGCCATAACTTGCTGCACCGGGCATGCTCTGTAGCTGATGAGGTCGAACATATTGAGGTTGGGCATACAGCTCAGTGGCCGGTTGATAAGCTGTAATTATTTGTGCTGGCTGTAATTTTTCACCATCGACCAATATGTATTGTGTGGGAGCTGGAGAAAAGGCACTTTCAGGTCTTTGCAAAGTTCCAGCTGGACGTATGTAGACAGGTTTCAGCTCCGGTTCCCGTCGAATTATGTATTGTGTTGGTTGGGCCGTTGTGGCCACCATAGCTGTGCGATGAGGTATTTCATACAATTCCGATTGGTTGGACTGTAGGCTACCTCTCTTCACGACATGGGCATAAATGGGTGAATTGGTGTTGGGATCGGTTACAATTTCTTGGGCAATGGGAACAAAATGTCCCGGAGCTGGGGCTGGTAAGCTGTGCATGCGTTGTGGCACCTGGGGAGCGGCGTACATACGAGACCCAGGTCGTTGATGTGTCTCCACGGAGACATAGGATACCGGAGAGAGATCAGTGGCTGTTGGTTGTTTCTCGTAGATGGCCTGTAGCTGTGCTGGCTGCTGATTAGTTGGCGTTTTATTCAAGGACTTGCGACAAAATTCCTTGATTTTCTGCAAGATCTCTTCTCTCGTCAAAAGGCCACCAATGCGTCTGGTTGTGGTGGTTTGTTGATTGCCCTCGGCTTTACGTCGAAGCACCACTGGAGTCTCAGGAGTTTCACTTTCATAACCCCTGGCAGTGACATTACCCAAAACACTTTGACAGCGTGGCATGGAATTCTGACCGGACTTATTATTTAACCTGGCCTCGGGCGCCACAACGGGTTTGCCATCAATAATTTTCACCTGGCGATTGGCATTGGAACGTATTACCCCTGAAAATGTGTTGCGTTGCGGAGATCCCCGGGTAAATTGTCCATCTTGTCCGGCAGCCAAACGAACTTGACTGCCACCGGGCAAGTGTTCATAGATATTTTCCAAATTTTGAGATGACTTGGTCGGATTGTGAGAAGGCGAGCTCATTACAATATTCTGTTGATCCTTGAATTTCGCATTATCTTGCTGCTGATCTTGTTGTTGCTGCTGTTGCAATTTCTGTTGTTGCTGCATGACACGATAGTATAGCTCCCGATCAGTTTGCTCCTTGATAGCTCGTAGACGTTCCCATTCCTGTTGATCGACATAGACACCCAGCTGGGATGCCTTTTTGGGTATTGAAGATATTGGTGAAATATTTTTCGTATTAATGCTGGTGGAAGGGTTGCCACCTCCGCTCTCTCCTCCACGTTTGGGTGTAGAGGTAATGGGTGGACCATCATTGACGGGGAATGTTGTCTCCTGTACATTATCTCCCGAACGTGTGGTAATAGGTGCCAGTAAAGTTTCTCCTGTAACACTATTAGACCTTTGTTGTTGATTCGCCGGCTGTTGTGATTGGGCGCCATGATTAGCATTTCTCTTCAATATTTCATTACGATCCATTGATGAAGATCTACCAAATATCTGTTGCCTATCCTGCGGCTGAGTTGTACGTTTCGGAATCATACTCTGACGATCAATGGTTCTGCGGAAACTTGTGTCGTTCTTTTCCCGAGCCGTTGCAGCAGAAGCTGGTTCACGTGCCAAGGTGTAGAGATTATTGTTAACATTTGTGGGTCTCTCGCTCAGCATCATTTTTGGTGGCTCATATTTTGTAATTCTTTCGCGCGACAATGTTCTCCTTGGTGGTTTGGTTATTGATTTACCTTGCAGCTCCTTTCTTCTCAGCCCCGGAGTACCTATGGTATTGGATTTGATGGAATTTGTGAGATTCTCATTACCATTTTGATGTTCGGCATTTGCCAGAGCACTTGAGATCGATAGAGAGATATCATCACCACTGGCATAGCTTTTACGAGATCTCTCCAATTGTTGTTTCAATTCTAGGGCCTCAGCTGGACTCAGCAGATTGCCAGCCTTTGGTCGGCCATGGAAACTTTGACGTTCGAGTACAACCCTTTTGATGGGTTTCAGTGAGCCATTTTCCTGGTTGCCATCATATGAAGGTTTGATTATAGGAACCGGTTCTTTGGGCGTTGTCTTGCGTCGCGAAGCAAAAATACTGTTGGCCAAAAGCCTCTGAAATACTGAAGGTTTATTGCGGCCGGCAGCATCCACACTATCTGAGCCGCCGCCGCTGCTGCTGAACTGGATACGTTCAGGTTCTGCCTTAAAGCTTATCTGTTTGATGGTACCCCCACTGGTTGGAGATTTTTTGCCATACATTGGTTGGGCGCCATTGGGTATCTTTTTGGGTATTAAAGTTAAACCTTTCTTTTCGAGATATTCTTGAAATTCTTTCGATTTGATGGTATTGGTAAAGGTACCGGTGGGCGGTGGTGATGGTGATGGTTCCCGACTACTAACGCAAGGATCTGCCGCACCATTGTTATTTCCACTTTGTGGCATTTTTCCGGTTTCTTCTTGTTGTGTTCCACTCATATTATTATCATCACTGGATTCACTTTTCGTTAGAGGTTCTTCAATTTCATCCAAATCGTCATCTGAAGATATGTGCAGTTTTTTTACCCTCTCATCAAACTTCTTGGCATTCTTGGTTACCTCGAGGGGATTATACAGGCTATCTTCTAGGACAGTACCAGTTTTAATTTTCAAATCGGATAACTCGGGGTAGTTGGGTTTCGAGCACTTCTTAAATGTTATTGGTGGTTTCGAGGGCTTGCTCTCGTTTTGGCGATTTTTCAATTCCTTGAGACGTTCCCTTGGCTGGGGCTGTGGCGTATTTTGGGTGACAATTCTCTTTGGTGGCTTCTTCAAAGCTAAATCTCGCAGCTCTTCAAATTTCAAACGAGCTAATACCGTGGGATCGTAGACAAAATATGGATCCGGATTCTTTATGTAGGTCTTAACGTATTTCGATTGTTTCAGGACCTCTTCTGTGGTGACAAACTCATCCGAGGGAGATTTTATAATGCCATTACTTTTGCGATTGTTGGTCTCGTTCTTTTGACGTTCTCTCTCCTTTTCTTTTTCACGTTCCCGTTCCCTTAGTTGTTGAGTTACGGTTTTGCGAACACTTAGTGTGGAGCGTTTTGCCGGTACTGGTGGTGGAGTTTTCTTATCTTTTCTCTTTGAACTGCCACCATTCGTAGTGCTCAAATAGCCATTGGACTTGAAAGGATTCTGTTGATCAACTATCGGTTCGCCGGCAATGAATTTCTTTATTTTCTCATCATTTGGATCGAATGATACGGATTTTTTCAATTTCGTCTTGGGTTTCTTCTCCAACCCACCGTCACCCTCTTCTTCGGTAGTGGCGTTATTTATGGACTTTTCGGTAGTGTCCGTATCACAGCTTTCGTCTAAGGAATTGCGTAGACAACCATTCGTTTTGAGATTATTACTTGTTGGTGATATCCGATTGGTATCGAGCGATTCCAGTGAGACACATTTAATGGGATCTTTGTTGAATTTGTTGGATAAATATTCGTTGCTGCTCGTTTCTATTACTGTACACAAGGATTCGGTGCTGACATCATTACTAAGTGGTTCTGACATTTTTCGAGAGATGTGAAGTTTATTTTGGGAGATAGTATAGTTGTTGAAGGGTGGGATAGAGCTAATGAAGAAGTTTTGTAGTTGGTTTTTACGTGCAGTTGCATTGAATGTTCGGATGGGGTTCCAGGTTGGCCAGCGGTGGCATATAATGACGAGGAAACTGTAGGGAAGAGAAAAAAATGATGTTTTAGATGGATATTTTTTAGAATTAAATATTAAGTAAAACCAGTAAGGAAAAGTCAAAAGTTGGGCGGGGTCGACTACACCACTATGCATATTTAGTAGAGCTCCCGTAACAAAAGAATTTATTTGAAGTAAATCATACCACCTATCAACATTTGGCTTTAGGTTATAGTGTGGTTTCAGAGGGAACTAATATAGGGGAGGCATATCCAATTCTGAATGGATTTTCACTAATTCACAAATAACATTGCTATAGAGTGCATGTTATCACTTCGAAAGGGATTATATTAAAAAAATATATATCGGAGCCGTGTTCGAAATTAATTCCATTTGGGCTGATATTACCCATTCTTTGCACAATAAACCTGAAATCGGATTAAGGATACAGGATAAGATGAAAAAAACTGCAACCAACTTCAGACTGCTGTCATTTCTAAGTCACTCGTCCGAAAGCTGTTAAAATTATTCAAGTGACAGCTCATTATATTGTTTACAAGCGTACGAAAGCATTTTGGTCAAAATTTTCCAGAAAAAAAGTTTTTCGTCATGGAATTCGAGCCTGATAATGTGATTTCTTTATATTTGGCTGGAAAACCACAAGTGGCTATCGTTAGAGCACTCCAGCATTTAAATGTGAATAAATCGTTACCGTGATACTGGTAGCGTAGCCCGATGTCAAGGAAGTGGACGGAATAAAATAGCAACATCAACAGAAATGGTTCGAAAAGTAAAGAAGCGACTTGATCGAAACCCGCGTCGAAGTGGCCGAAAAATGCCTCGTGAGCTGAACATATCGCAATATTCTATTCGGCAAATATTGAAAAATGAGCTCGGGGTAAAGCCATTACAATTCCAAAAAGTGCAAGAACTTACACCGCAACAGAAAGAAAATAGACTAAAAAGAGCTAAAGAGCTAAGTTGCTTCACTTGGCCGTAAGTGGTGAACTGCCGAATTTGGTTTTCTCCGATGAGAAAACATTTGTTGTCCAGCAGTTTATAAACAAACAAAATGATCGTGTTTACTTGCCAAAGAGGTCAACTTAACATGGCACCTTTGGTTGGCCACCAGAACACAAGCGCCGGCCATTATGATGGTGTGGGCGGCCATAACAGCCAGAACACAAGCGCCGGCCATTATGATGGTGTGGGCGGCCATAACAGCCGATGGTCGCTCTCCGCTCGTATTAATCGGCCTTGGCATCAGAATAAATGCCGAATATTATGGCGAAAATATTCTGGAGCGTGTATTTAAACCTTGGGTACGCCAACATTTTTGCTGCAGACCTTGGACATTCCAACAAGACTCAGCACCATCGCACTCACCACGTGCCACCCAAGAATTGTTACAAAATGAGGTTCCTCGCTTCATATCCAGCGCACAATGACAACGCACCAAAATCTCCGGATACCAATCCGTGGGATTATTGTGCCTGGAGTATTTTGGAAAGCATGGCTGGCACTAAAAAATACCAAAGTGGCGATCACCTCCAGCAAGCGCTTCGGGCAGCGTGTGTGGGTTTCATTGGCCGTTTGAAGGCCATAATTCGTGCCAAAGGTGACCAATTCGAACAAATCTACACTTAATCTAAAATTTGATGCTATTTCCAACATTTTTTGCTTTCATTCAATAAAATCTAAAAAAACTGTAAAAATTATGGCGTTTGACTTTTTTCAGTTTTTTTGTCTCACTCTGTATATATGGGAGCTTCTAGACTAAATTCGGTCGAATGTGCCAAAATTCAGGTCATTTGGACTGATATTGGCCATTTGGTGCACAATTAACCCGAAATCGGTTGAAGATATATATGGGAGCTATATCTAAATTTGAATCGATTCCAATTTCAACCGAACCCTGATGCCAAATATATTTTGTTTGGAAAATTTCATCTCAATCGGATAATAAATGCAACCTGCATTTCGTTAACAAAAATACATGGACAAACGTGGGCGGACTGACATGAATAAATGGACTCGGAAAGTGATTCTATGAAGATCCTCAAAAGTAACTATACGTCTATCTCCCTTCCTTCTCCATTTTACAAAGAAATGCACAAAAATATAATTCCCTTACCACTATGTTGTGTAGGGTATAAAAACGAAATATATTAAAAATCCTCTTGCGGGGATGGTAGAATTTTTTTACTTTAGTTTAAGTAAAGTCTTCATGTGAATTCAAATGCAAAGAAAGCTGGTAACTAGAATTAGCATTTTGGCGCCCAATGTCAAACTGTCATTCAACCAAATGTTTTTTTTTTTTTAAAGATTTAACCATAGACACGAAGTAACATGCGATAATTGTTGGAAAGTTTTTAAATTTACAGAAATTTTTACTACAACATTTTTTTTTAAATATTTCTCTCATCTCGACTTGTTTAAGGTAATCGCATTTGACATGAACATACCGCTGGAATGTAATGTATTACAACATTTTATTTGCAACGAAATTAGTTGCAGACAATGAAAACAAAAAACACACAACATTTGTGCCAAACCAAAGAAACAATCGACAAATGCAAAACGTAGTCCATAAAGCCTGGAAACAACTTAGTTTTTTTTTTTTAATATTGTTTCCTCTTAATTTTTCTTTTAATGTGCCGTTATTCCATTACCAATCATTACAATTATTAGCGGCGGTTGTTTTCATCTCTTTGCACAAAACAAAAGGCGATGGTAGTGGCTATAACCATTACCAGCATCGTCGTCGTCATCATCATCATCATCGCCACCATCAAGAAAATCATTTGCTTCATTGGCAACATCAGTTGGGGTAGCAAATGGCAAAGATTTCTGGCTAACTTTACCGGAGCACTTGTAATGGCTATGACTCTTGTGTCAGCAGCAACTGTAAAAACCTTAACAAAATCAACCATGGAAATGGAAAAATGGCAGAAGACTATGACTTGGCCAGTGTAAATGTGCTGTGAATGTCTCCGATGGGAGAAGTAAAACGACAACTTAACTGAGAGGAGGCACAAATGTCATTTAGATATTTTGAAATGACTGAGGTTTCATGACATGGTTGTGATGACGGTATGTGTGCTGGTATGGATTGAAATCGATTCGAATCAAGTCAAATCATATGAATGGTGATTGAGCTTGGAATTAACTGGATGAAACGGATTAACACCTGAATGTCCAACAACGACAGCTTCGCGAGGTTAATGTGACAATTAAATGACTGGCTGGTATAATTTTGACAGGTGGTTAAATACGAAGATATTAAACTTGTGGAACTGGCAATAATTAATTATAGTTAATAAATATTAAATTCTATGGGAAGATCAAGAGATCTTCTATGAGAAGATCCACAGATCATCTATGAAGAGATCTACAGATCTTCTATGAGAATATGAACAGATCTTCTATGAGAAGATATACATAAATTCTATGAGAAGATCAATAGATCTCCATGTGAAGATCTTTGGATCGTCTAAGATAAAATGTTCAGATATTATACGAGAAGATATAGAAGATGTGGAGGTCTCTAATGCGATACAGAAGACCTAAATGTGTTCTATGCGATAGAAAAGGTCTTTTATGCGATAGAGAGGACCTAGAGGTCCTCTATGCGATATAGAAGATCTAGAGGTCATCTATGTGATAGAGATGACCTAGATGTCTTCTATGGGACAGAGAAGACCTAGAGGTCTCTATGCGAGAGAGAAGACCTAGAGGTCTTCTATGCGACAGAGGAGCCCTAGTAGAAGTCTTCTATGCGACAGAAGAGACCTAGAGATCTTCTATGCGACAGAGGAGACCTAGTAGAGGTCTTCTATGCGACAGAGAAGAAGTAGTAGAGGTATTCTATGCGATATAGGAGACCCAGAGGTATTCTATGCGATATAGGAGATAGAGAAGACCTAGAGGTCTTCTATGCGACAGAGAAGTCCTAGAGGTCTTCCATGCGACAGAGAAGACCTAGAGGTCTTCTATGCGACAGAGAAGACCTAGAGGTCTTCCATGCGACAGAGAAGACCTAGAGGTCTTCTATAGAAGACCTAGAGAGAAGACCTAAAGGTCTTCTATGTGAGAGAGAAGACCTAGAGGTCTTCTAAGCGAGAGAGAAGACCTAGAGGTCTTCTATGCGAGAGAGAAGAAAAGACCTGTAGATCTTCTATTAGAAGACCTACAGATCTTCTACTAGAAGACCTACAGATCTTATATGAGAAGACCTACAGATCTTCTTCGAGAAGACCTACAGATCTTCTACAAGAAGACCTACAGATCTTATACGAGAAGACCTACAGATCTTATACGAGAAGACCTACAGATCTTATACGAGAAGACCAACAGATCTTCTCTGTGAAGATCTATAGATCTTCTCTGAGAAGACCTACAGATCTTCTACGAGAAGACCTACAGATCTTCTCTGAGAAGATATACAGATCTTCTATGAGAAGATCTACAGATCTTCTATGAGAAGATCTACAGATCTTCTATGAGAAGATATACAGATCTTCTATGAGAAGATCTACAGATCTTCTATGAGAAGATCTACAGATCTTCTATGAGAAGATCTACAGATCTTCTATGAGAAGATCTACAGATCTTCTATGAGAAGATCTACAGATCTTCTATGAGAAGACCTACAGATCTTCTATGAGAAGACCTGCAGATCTTGTACGAGAAGACCTACAGATCTTCTATGAGAAGACCTACAGATCTTCTATGAGAAGACCTACAGATCTTCTATGAGAAGATCTACAGATCTTCTATGAGAAGATCTACACAGCATCTATGAGAAGATCTACCAACCTTCTTACAGGAAATAAGCTGATCTTTTTGGAGAAGATCTAAGGGTCTTCTATGAGAAGACATACAGATCTTCTATAAGCAGATCTACAGATATTCTATGAGAAGATCTACAGATCTCTCTCTTCAGAAAAAATTCTAAACTTATTCTTTTAGGTTTAAAATTTTATGACACATTATTTTACTCCTCACCCTACCCTCGTCAAACCACAAAAATTTACCTCC